AGGAACTTTTTCGCTCATGGTCCATTCAGAATTTTAAGGATCTGTTTGTCATTTTTAGCGGGCTCGGTCAGACATGAGCTTGACTTAAATCAAAGCTCGAAGTAGCCAAACCCGACCCGCCCATGTGAACCCGGCCCAAAAAAAAAAGAATTTTATATCAATTTTCATGTAGAACTGAAATTTCTGTAAGGATTTATGGTCATCTTAAAGACTATCATACAAGGCATGTATATATATATATATATATCTAACATTCAATTCTTACGTATCTACATATTTAAAACCTAATATTTAAAATATAAAATTTTTAGCTTATATTTTCATGTCAAATATTTTTTTTTTCCCCATTCAATTTTTTTTGTTAAGGCTCGCGGGTCTACAGGCTAGCTCCATTCAATTTTTTTTTTGTTAAGGCTCGCGGGTCTACAGGCTAGCTCAACCCATTTAATGGGCGGGTCTGACAAAAAAATTCTAAATAAAAGCTATACTTAGGCTCGGCCTGAGTCTGCTCGTCAAGCCCGATCTGCCCAATACCCAGGTCTAACTGTGAGGTTTTAGGTCAAGTTTTCAAAAGACAGACAGATAATAGATATGAGTCATTTGACACTACCCAGAGAATTCACTCTCATTTTTCAAGGATTTTAAGATTTAAAGTTTGAGTTTTTTGATAGGGACAAGCCCCTAAGATTAATTATCTCTCCCGATAACGAGTAAAAACTTTTAATTTAGATCCCATGGGCATTCAACATTAAGTATTCAAGTTTAACATATAGTAGCAACAAATACAAAAATTAAAATTATGAAATTATCACCATTAGCTTGGAGCAGAGATGATTGGGGAAATGATGACGAACTCGATTACGATACCATGGTTGCGATTTGTTATAGTACTATTTAGAGTGATTTGGCTGAAAAATTTCCGCTATGATTTGTTCTTATCTATGTAGATGATTCCAACAAGCATTATTTAATCAATGAATTATGTAAATAAAAAAAAAACAGCATTATTATCACTTTTTTAGAAGTGAAATACACATTTTTCATACATAAGTTTCAGACATCGAAGTGTTTTTATGTACATATGAAAGTTTCAGCATGAGATATATAAATGCATAAGAAATGTGGGAAAAAATTTGCGTACATAAGACGTACGCAAAACTGCGTACGTTTATAACCTGCAAACATATTATAGAGAGGATTTTAGGAGATTATAACCACGTTATACCCCCTGTAATCTCCATGTAACCTACCTGTACCTTCTAGTAAGTTCCGCGATTCTGTTTTGATATACATGTAGGTTACATGGTAGTTACAAAGGGTATAACGCGGTTATAACCTCCCGAAATTCTCCATGTAACCTGTTTGCAGGTTACAGACGTACGCAGCTCTACGTACTTCTTATGTACGCAATTTTTTTTCGTGTTACAGTGTAAACCAAACAAATTCACGCAATAAAATGAAGAGAAATTTACATAAAATCACACAATTCTTAGTCATTTACATGCATAACACCTAAACTTTCATATTTACATTTCTAACATTTTAGTGTTATAAATTTATGCAACAAAATGTATGTTTCAGTTCTCAAAAGAATGTGATAATGGTATTTTTTTAATGTGATTTTAAAAATTCAAGTAGTATGGGTGTAAATATACAAATTTAAGTGTTAGACATGTAAATATATTTGAATTGTGTGGTATGTGTGTAAATGCCCCTAATATGAATTACAATAATGTTCTTTTATTATATCTATAAATCAATAATATAAAGAAACATTAATACTTGCATCCATCCAATGCTGCCTTTAGAGGAAGGCAAAGAGGGTATGGAGACAGCAATAAACAAGACACTTCTTTTCATCACCAACGAAAGGGTAGGGCTGTCAAAAGTGCTCGTTGTTCGTGTTTGGTTCGTCAATGAGTTTGTATATGATTCGTTCGATAAGTAGACGACATGAACATGAACAAATTTTTTTTCGTTCGGTTAGTTAAATGAACCAAACACAAACAATGGTGTGTTCGTTCGTATTCGAATCGTTATTGTTCGAAATATAAAACAATGTAAAATAATTATATATATAAATTTATGATATTTAAAAAATTTCATTTTATAAATTATACTATATTAGTAATATACTGAGAGATA